GCTGCTGCTGGTGCAGGCGCTTCCGAAGGAACTGGGTGTCTTCTGCTGCTTCTCGCTGGCAGCAGCTGCAGCAGCAGCAGCAGCACGACTCGGCGAGGACCTGCACGAGGGGCGGAGACGCCCAGGGGCATGTGCTGACTGCTTATTTGCTGCGGCTGCAGAAGGCTGCTGCAGCGCGGCTGCAGCAGCAGCAGCAGCAAGGGCGGCACAGCAGCAGCGAGTTGCTGCAGCAGCTGCGCCGCAGCCCCAGCGCTGCGGTGTATGCGCAGCTGGCACGCCGCTCCCGTGTCTCTTTGCTGCGGCACCGGGCTCTGCAGCAGCAGCAGCAGCAGCAGCAGCAAAAGCACAGCCGCAAGCGCAGCAGGGAAGCCGAGGGGGGAGCGGGATCGTGTCTTCTAGACTTAGAAGGCCAAGAGACGATTCCGCTGCTGCAGCGCAGCAGCAGCAGCAAACGGAAGGAGACGCAGCTAGCAGCAGACAGCAGCAGGAAGGTGCTGCTGCGTCTCCACCGCAAACCCCGCGTGCGCTCTTTCGAGCCTAGCTGGGCCCTGAGCAGCAGCAGCAGCAGCAGCAGCAGCAGCAAGCAGCAGCATCACTTCGGGGTTGCAGCAACAGGAAACTGGCTGGGCCGGGAGGTTCTTTTTGCTGCTCTAGACGAAGCAAAAGTTGCAGAGGAAATGCCGCATGCAAAAAAGTTTCAAGAAACACTCGGGGGAATGGTCCAGACTCTGGGAAACAGGTGCCTGCTGCTGCTGCTGCTGCTACTGCTGCTGCTGCTGCTGCTGCGGTTGTAGTTGCTGCTGTTGCTGTTGCGGTTGTAGCTGCTGTTGTTGCTGCTGTCGCTGTTGCTTTTGCGGATTCTGGTGCTGCTGTCGCTGCTGCTGCTGTCGGTTGTGCTGCTAAGGAAGGGGCCTACGCCCAATAGTGCTGCTGCTGCTGCTGCTGTTTGGCTTGTTGCTGCTGCTGGCTTTTTGCTGCATGAACAGTTGTTTTGCTGCTGACGAGCCGACTCCCACGTACAATTTCTCTGCGCAAACTCAGTACAGGGTTCAGGGTTTAGGGTTTAGGGTTTAGGGTTTAGGGTTTGTGCGTAGGCGGGAATACTGTGTTGTAATCGACGACAAGACAGGCAGCATTTCTATTTATCCCTGCAGCCGCCTTTCTTTCTTTTTGCAAGAGACCCCCGAGCAGCGGGCTAAAGACTTTGTAAGGGTTTAGGGTTTAGGGTTTAGGGCTTAGGGTTTAGGGTTGGGGCTTTAGGGTTTACGATTCAGGTGCAGCTCTGTCTTATAATACCTCCCATTTAGGGTTTAGGGCTCAGGGTTCGAAATCAGGCGCTTCCACTGGAAGGCCCGAGCCCAGGGTTAGAATTTAGGGTTTAGGGTTTAGGGTTTAGGGTTTAGGGTTTGTGGTGTTCAGTATGCGCTGCAACGGGAAGAAATGCAGCGGGGCTCTGACGGGCTTCGGGTGTCTCTACACTGCCGCTCTTTGTCTCTCCGTTCTTTGTTGGAAGTTGGCTGCCACTTGAGTCCTCAAGAGCTCAAGTACACGAACCAAGTGAGGGTCTAGGGTTTAGGGTTTAGGGTTTGGGGTTTAGGGTTTGGGGTGGGGGTTTCTGCGTCGGTCTGCGGGCGCGGGATGAGGGTTTGGATTTTGGGGTCTGGTGCAGGGCTTGAGCTCAGCTGTTCTGCTGCTGCTGCTGCTGCTGCTGCTGCTGCTGTTGCTGCAGGCGCGTCTGCAGCTGCAGCAAACGGGGTCTTGGGTTGCTGCTGCTTTTGCTGCTCGCGCTGTGCCGGTGACTGAGGGGCAAATTGAGGTGTCTAGACACCTGGCGCGATCTGCTGCTAAGCCCATTAGGAGCCGCAGCGAGTTTGAGAGCTTCTTCACGAAAGCAGCAAGCAGCAGCACTGCTGCTGCTGCTGCTGTTGCTGCTGCTGCTGCTGCTGCTCACGGCATCCCGGCCGCGCTGCTGCGCAAGGCGCACGCTGCAGCAACAGCAGCAGAAGCTGCTGTCATCTCCCTCCAGGAGGGAATCTGCAGCAAAGAGATGTAAGCAAACTCGCCGAGGGTTTAGGGTTTAGGGTTTAGGGTTTGGAGATTTCACCCTTCTACTGGTCATCCCGTCAGACAGCTCCACATGCACTGGAAAGCAACAGCATTTAGAGTTTAGGGTTTAGGGTTTAGGGTTTGGGGTTTTTGTGCGCAGCTTCGAGGAAGAGATTCTACCAGAGATCCTTCGCAGCTACTATTTCAAGTCCCACCCTCTTCTGTCGTAAGCCCTAAACCCTAAACCCTAGTTCTCGGGCCCAAACCCTAAACCCTAGCCTCCAAACCCTAACACGTACTCCTGAAGCCCTAGACACTCAATTTGCTCGTTAGGAGCAAAAGAGGGTACTGCGTACTGCCCAACTGTGTTTACCCCAGTTTTCTAGGGTTTAGGGTTTAGGGTTTAGGGTTTGGGGCTTGTTTGTCTCAGGAGCTGCTACATAACAGCCCGCAATGCTTATGCTGCTCTGCAGCAAGACGAGCAAAAAGCAAGAAACAAATCGCGTGTCATCACGGGAGGGGTAAACCCTAAACCCTAAACCCTCGGGAAGCGCTTTAGGCTGAAAAGCCGCGAGCGCTTCTTTTGTTTATTTTAGGGTTTGAGGCCGTGGCTTAAGACACTTCTCGCGTCTGCAGCTCGTCGATGGTTCAGGGTCCAGGGTTTAGAGTTTAGGGTTTAGGGTTTAGGGTTTAGGGTTTGTGATCAGAGCATCCGGGACCCAAGCGCGGGCTTGTCTTCGACTGCATTGCTGAAGCAGTTTAGCGAGTGCAAGGACGCTGCAGCTGCGAGCGGCCCCGCAGCAGCAGCAGCAGCAGCAGGCGTTGGTGCAGCAGCAGCAGCAGCGCCGCCGCAAATGCTGCAGCAAATGCTGCCACGATTTAACCCCAAAGCCACTTGTGTAGAAGAACTTTTTTGTCTTGATGATTTGGTGCCGCTGCAGCTGCTGCAGGACGGCTCAGCGCAGACGGGCACTGCTGCTGCTCCGGTGCTGCTGCTGCTGCAGCAGCAGCAGCTGGACCCACAGCAGCAGCAGCAGCAGCGGCAGCTGGCCCACTGGGGCGAGTTCGTTGCTGCTGCTGCTAAACATGCTGCGCTGCAGAAGCAAGTTGGCGTTGGCAGCCACCTCAGCAAACAGCTCACGCTGCAGCAGCTAGCCAGACTTCTGAAGATTCTGAAGTTCCTTTGTGTTCTCCTCAAGAAGCAAAAACGTTCCTTCTCCAGCCAACAAGACGTGAGGGTTTAGGGTTTAGGGTTTGGGGTTTGCGGGGCTGCGGTTCTCGCCGCCGCGGGCGGCCGCAGCAGCGCTGCTTCGAGCCCAGCGCTGCTGTGGGCCCAGGGTTTGAGGATTAGGGTTTAGGGTTTAGGGTTTAGGGTTTGTGCTGCAGCTGGCGAGGCAGCTGCGGGTGGGGCCGGAGCCCCCTGGCCACGCAGTGACTGCGTGGCTGCAGACGGAGTTTTTGAAAAAGGGTTTTGACGAGAAGTACAGCATGCCCAAGGAGTATCAAACCAAGTACTGCTAGGGTTTAGGGTTTAGGGTTTAGGGTTAAGGGTTTGCGAGGGTTAAGGGTTTGCGAGTTGTTAGGGTTTAAAGCTTGCTACGGTTCAGGGTTTTGGGTTTGTGGGGGTTTAGGGCTTGCTAGAGCTTAAGATTTAGAGTGTGGGGGCTTTAGGGTTTGCTAGCGTCTAGGGTTTAGGGTTTACGAGGGTTTAGAGTGTGCTAGGGTTTAGGGTTTGCTAGGGTTTATGGGCACCGAGGCTGCAGGGGGGTTTACACTTCTCACTGGGTAGGAGGGGAAGCCAGCGCACAAAAGCTTCAGGGCACGGATTTTTTTTTTTTTTTTTTTTTTTTTT